GAGAGGGAGAGGGAGAGGGAGAGGGAGAGGGAGAGGGAGAGGGAGAGAGAGAGAGAGAGAGAAACAGAGAGAGAGAGAGAGAGAGAGAGAGAGAGAGAGAGAGAGAGAGAGAAACAGAGAGAGAAACAGAGAGAGAAACATAGAAAGAGACAGAGACACTGTCTGTCTGCACTCGAGTGCGCGCCTTGAACAGCCTGGTGACTGCTCTAGCTCTGCCTCCTGACCAGAATATATAAGAAAGTCTACCTGCAAAACCTCCCCTTAGCTGACATAAGGAAAATTTGTTACTTTCATAAGATATTAAATGGAAGTTTGAGAACCCAAGAGAAATCAGTAGTCATTAGTGGGTTTTTGGGTGAAGTAGCTTAAGATGGTGTGCACCTTAATGAAAAAGTCCGTATTTATTGATGTGCTAAGAAAAGTCTAGAGGAACGGATGTCAGTTTAGAATGGTTTTAAGATTGAAAGAAGAAGCCATCCAGGTGCTGGATAGTTAAAGGAAGAGCTGACAGATTAGAGCAGTGTGGGTGGAGAGGGCAGATAAGGGAAGACTGGAGGATGGCTTTCTCTTTGCTGAGACTTGTGGGGACCAGGAGGAAGACAGTGCTTTGATGAAGAAGAAAAAGCAGTGGGTTATCTACAGCTCAGGTTTAGTCATGCTAACACTAAGTATCCTTAAATATTTAGTGAAGATGGAAGAGGGGTCTGGGAGGGAAAAATGCATTTGGGATCCATTATTATGTAAGGAATACTTAAAATCAAGAGAGCATGAGCTTTTCCAGAGAGAGTAAAGACACTGACATGAATTATATACTGTGGGAGAGAGTCCCACTGATGTTTATCAGGAGATGAGCAGTAACGGACAGCAAAATCGAGCAGCTGGAATGTGGGACTATGGAGAGGGAGGATTATTGATCTCAGGAGTAAGGAGAAGTTTGAATAGCAGAGGTCACCAAGGCTTAGTGCTGTACAGCTTAAATCATGGAGTGACTATTAAGTGACTATTACATATTTATGGTCAAGTTTGGTAAAGTATTAATGAATCAGAGGTTTAGAAAAACTTAGCTAGCAGGACTCCAATACAAAATAAGAGATTCAGACTGTATGTACAACTCTGTGAAGCTGTTTTCTTGTAATGGCAGAAGCAGAGCTGGTAAGGCAGTTAGCTAAGAGGGAGCAACCAGCCTGCTGAGAAATGTTTGTCTTAGGGTTTGTTGACAGTCACCTGCTGTGGGGCAGCAGGGTCTGCTTGTGCACTGTGACCTCAAAGGATCTGCCTCTGAGGTGTGTGTGTGTGTGTGTGTGTGTGTGTGTGTGTGTGTGTGTGAGAGAGAGAGAGAGAGAGAGAGAGAGAGAGAGAGTATGTACGTACATGTATGCATGCATGCATGAATATGAAAGTGTATATAATATATATTATTATATGTTGTAAGTTGCCTTCTGACCTTCACATGTGCAAGGTCACATGCAACTGTGTGGGGCAGGCACAAATACACACACATGCACATACATACATACACACACACACACACATACACGTATGCCCACTAATAAATGTAAAAAAATTAAAGCATTGACTTAGCTATGTTTTTCATATGAATATATGCATGAAAAATGTAAAAAAACTACGTATGACATGGAAAATGGGAAGGAGAGCATAAGGAAGGGTAAAGGGGAAATGTGTGTATATGTGTATGTATGTTTGTATGTATGTGTGTGTTATTTATAAAACTCCAATTAAATATTTTTGTGGTTTTCATAATTTTATTTATAATTAGCAGGCAACATTAGATAAATTTATGAAATTCCTGAATAAAGTGTGTTTTAGTGTATCCCTCTCCCCTATTTCTCGCTCCTGTCTCCTTCACCCTTCCTTCTGCCCTCCTTCCCATTCTCCCTTCATTTCTATGTCACATGTAGATTTTTTAAAATTTTATTTTATAATTTTACACTGAAAAACAGAGATTGGATATGCTCTTTAAATTTCTCTTTATGTTTATATGTATGTGTATGTGTGTTAGCACGCACGTGTGCATGCATGTATATGTGTATGCATGCTTGAGTGCTTGTCCCACATACAGATGTGTGCTGCCCTGCAAATGAGGAGGTCAGAAGGCAACTTTGCAAATGTTAGTTGCAGGGAGCCAGCCCCAACTATTCTTCTTTCTTGGTTCCTCTTGAGGCAGTGGCAGGAGCAAGACTTGGTCTTGTGAGATATTTAGAGTTGCTGTTTAATAATAAATGTTTACCTGTCTTAAGTGTAAGTCACACCACGCAGTGGTGGCGCACGCCTTTAATCCCAGCACTTGGGAGGCAGAGGCAGGTAGATTTATGAGTTCGAGGCAAGCCTGGTCTACAGAGCGAGTTCAAGGACAGCCAGAGCTACACAGAGAAACCCTGTCTCGAAAAACAAAAACAAAAAAACAAAAACAAAAAAAACCCAAATAAACAAAAAAGTCTAAGTCACTTTGCTACTGTAGCTGACCTGCCTGACTTCCTTTGAGGCCAGAAACTGAAGTCTCTTGTGTTTAGCACTTCATAGTAAACCAGCGTGGGGTTAAATAAGGGATTAATTGTTAGAGCCTTTTCTATCTTGTCCAAATGCCTCTTGCTTGTCAGGCTAAGGGAAACTTTGGAGCAAAAAACTTCTATTAAACCAGGAGAAAAGAGTCGCTGTTGAAGAAGGAAAACTTTTACACAAGCAAATATGGATAAACACATAAATTCAATACAAATCCATGCTTACACATTCATATATCTCTATTCAAACCAGTTGGGCTCAGCTTACATACTTATAACTACATATTTAAACACACACATATCCAGATTTAGATATGTATATGGAGCGAAAGATCAAGCACCAGTACAGAAAGAAGTCACTCATTCTAGCTGAAAATGAGCTTCAATCTTTATTGCATAGAGAAAGAAAAAGCTTCTACCCTTTTATTGCTAAATAAATTAAACCCATGTCTGTAAGAAGAAAGCTTTGTTCTCTTTAGTAAGACTAAGCCTGTCTTGCTCCTTCTGAAAATACCTGTTCTGTCCTATAAGGAGAAGCCTGCCTGCTCCTTCTGCTCTCTCTGCAGCTTCCTTTTTCCTCTTTCCCTCTGCATTCAGCATATTGCTCTCTTAGTATTTTATGTTACCTATAGTTTCTAAGTTATTCCACTCTGCATTCTCCTTCTGATCTTGCTCTCTTCTCCTGCTCTGATGTAACAATGCCCTTGCTCCCAATGCTATGTTCTCAATGCTACTTCCCCCAACCCTCTGCCCACCAATGTAATCTTTCTTAGTCTTTTGTACCTTTTCTAGGAGAATAGATCACATGGTTTTTCCAAGCCCTTCCCCCAACTACAAAAGTTCACTAGAAGTTCAAACATAAATTCAAATAATAAATAAGTTTACAACAGAGAATGCTTACATGCGTATCCATTAAGAGTTATTTTCTGGCTAAACATTCATCATCTGTCACTAGCTCTACAGATTCATTGAGAATTAAAAACCATAACTAAGTTATCATTGAAGTTTTATATAGATAAATCCAGTCAGTATTGTATCTTCTGTCCTTGCACCTATCCTCAGTTCCCTTTTTATCACCTTTGTTGTTTTACAGCCTCTTGGAATGTGCTCTAAGTTGTAGATGCCTGCTTGCTATCTCAGAACCAATTAACTCATAATACTGAAGACTGGCAGAGTTCTCAATGGAGTTTTGAATCAGAAAGGACGTAATAGCAGTCTTATTATAAAAGAGCTTAATCATTACTAATATAATTTTAGGAATTCTTATAGGATCATCATTAAGAATTAAGAAATCATCTATTGGTCTATATAGCATCACTACAAGACAGAATATCTTCATTGTTCTGAGATCTGCTCAGAAGGGTGGGCTAATATCTGATTACTATTATATATATTTAATAATAACAGGAAAGCATATTAATAGCAGGAATCTTACTAAAAATGAAATCTCCTCGGCCTTGCCCAAAGAAGCAATTCTGTCATTAACTTCAGATTCCATGTGGAATCATCTCAAGAAGATCATGTGCTAGTTTTTAGCTTTTTTTTTTTTTTTATGGCTCCAGGCAGCTAGTCTCTTTCCTTCCATCATAAAGATCCCAGGAATCTACCAAGTCATCAGGCTTGTTAAGTAAAAGCCCTTACCCATTGAGCCATCTTTTGACCCTAAGTCAGTCCCTAATATAAAGTTACTTTCCATTCTCTTTTCCTCCAGAGAGGATGGAAAGGGGAGAATATGTGAGTGCATGTACATGCTGCCATGCTTGGGGAGGCTAGGGGTTACTGTTAGGCATCTTCCTCTATTGTACTCCACCTTAGTTTTTTTTTTTTTTTTTGATACAGGGTCTCCCACTGAATCTTGAGCTTACCAATTGGTTTGATATGATGCCCAGTGATTTACCTGTTTCCACTGCCTACTCTTATACACACTGGCTTTACAGATGTAGGACATCTTGTGTGGGTTAAGATGGTGCCAGGGATCCAAACTTAAATACCCTATGCATGTAGAGTAACCACCACCCTTTGATCCATCTCCCTAGCCCCTTCCATATTGTCTGTTGCATCCAGTAATTTCTCCAGAGTTTTCATCATATGTTAGCTTTCAATTGTGTCTCTTCAAAGTCTTGTACACTGTTGTTTGTTTTTTGTGTGTCAACCCCATCCTAGGCCCATTGTTTGTTCCTTTATGTATCCATTCTCTAATTTATCGTCTATACATGACATGCTTCATAATTATTTTGAATGAATGGCTGTTGTGCTCTGTTTTGGTCTTTGATATATTTGCAACAGAGGTCAGGGCCATCCTGAATTTTGTGGTTGATTGCTCAATGTAGAATTGTTTGGCTATTTTGTTTTCTACAGAGTTCCTCTGAAGCATTCATGGTGAGGACAGGGTCACTGCAGCTTAGTAGCACATTGGTAGGAACTTCATCTCTGAAGAGAACGAAGCGAAAAGCACCTGCCCCACCTTCGAAAACTCCTCTGGCTCAGACCGATGAAAGGAACTCTGCAGCTGCTCACGGTATTCTCCTAGGAGCAGAACCATGGCTTGGGCTTTGTGTGTTAGTGTAGCCAGTAAAAACAGTGGGAGTCATGACTTGTCTTTTCCCTCGTCTTTTAGACAGGCTCTCCCAATATACCCTTGGCTGGTCTAGACTAATCAGACCAGGCTGGCCTCAGATCCAGAGAGCTGCTTCTGACCCCAAGTGCTGGGATTTAATGCATTTAATGCATGAACTTGGAGATTTTCTCTCTCTCTCTTCCTCTCTCGGCACTAGGCCTTAAACTAGTCTGATTATTCCCACTCAACTGCTTTTGAAAAATCTGCAACAAAAAACAAATGACAAAACATACAGCTTGATTATTGTAACGGGCACATGAACAGTATATAGACTCATTCAGAAAGATATCATCATTCCATGATTGACTTCATAGGAATGAGGATGGAGATGGAACTTACTCATTTCACAACTGGACTGTAAAGTGCCCTAGTAAGTTTAGGCTCATCCTTCCTGGATTAAGTAAAAGCTGAAAATTCCACAGGAGTTGTTTCTCTTATGAGTATGACTTTTATCAGTTGTCTTGCATCTTTCAGGCCTACCTTTGGAAGATGGAGTTGCTCCAGACAGCATTTTGGAAGCGAGCTCTACTGAGGGAATGTCCAGCCCAGGTATGACCCCTTCACCCCACACTGAAATTGTGAAGGAAAGCAGTGTTTTTACAGTAGAGAAATTAATCTAATTGGAGTGCTCTTTGTACTGAGAGGTTTTAATTCTTTGTATATGTTTGTACTATGAAACAAATCCCTCCCCCTTCCCCCAGCTCCATCCTCCACTACCAAGGATAGACACTAGGATAAGAAACTGACAGAAATCACAATTTCAGTTCTGCAGTTGGACCCCAAGTGCTTTCTCTATTTGGTCTCTTGTTTTTCCTTACGTGATCTTTAGTGAGCAGTTAACAGCCTCCTCCTAGGCAATGACACAGCCACAGTGGGACGATTTCTTGGTATGTTTCAAAGACTTAACATTAAGCACAGTCTCTTTCTGCAACTGCTTCAGTTATGAATTCAGCTTTCATGTGTTCCTCCTCTTTACAAGGAATTTCACTCACATGAGCTTTCTATCACATGGCTTTCAGTGTAGATTCTCCCCCAGGAAATGAAGTTTAAAAAAAAACAAACATTTTGATCTGATTTTAATTATTTCAATAGTAACTACTTAGAAGATTTTTAAGAATAAATCTGAGCAGAATGTAGTGGTACAAATCCATAATTTGCAGCAGTTGGGAGGTTGAGGCCAACTTGCCTTAAGAAGGAAAAAAATATTAAAAATGTCATACTCTTAGTTCATTAGCATGCAGATAATTTGTAGGTGTGAATGCTGGCCAGGTATGAGTACCTGCATTTATGTTCACAGAGATGGACAGGTTTAGGAGCAGCTTACCTTTATTCTTGACTCTCATGTGGTACTTAGAATTTTGGGATTTTAAGTTGTAAAAGAATTCCCTGTTTATAATGAAAATATTGTTATCACATAAGTAGTATTTTTTTTCCCTTAGAGCAGTCTCTACAATTCATTTCAACTCATCTACAACCTTCTCATTCCACACAGGGAACTTAACCAAGATAATGTTGCCAACATAAAATGCATACAGGAATTAGAAGGTTTTGAAGTTTCAGAAAAACGGGCACACTATTCAGACTTTGGCCTACATCTGCTTCTTGCTACCTTTTCAGGACTTGGTATATGTGAGCTAGCAGCACTGGTCTCACCACATCTGGATGTGTGCTTGCTTTGTTTTAACTCTCTTCTCTAAGTGCCATTTCTACAGACTCTGCTTCTTTGGCAGAGGGCTCCCTTGGCCCTGGGTTCCTAAGCCAGGAGCAGTGCGCTGTGCCCAAGCCGACGGATGAAATCTCTGTGGGCTCTGGAACTCCAGAGGCAGCTGTAGCATCCTTGACCTGTAGATTCTTAGGCTGGAAATGGTTGCGGCTTTGTATAAGCCATTGAGTATAGATCAGATTTCTCATTAACACCCTGTAAAATGTTTTATAAGTAAATATGCATGTGATTCCCTCTTTCCCTTGAAGTTGAATTCAGGTTTGAAATGTGCTGTTTTCCTGAACCATCTAAACAAGCAGGACAGAGTAGAGAGAAGCCACTGGGTGCCTCTAGGGACCACTTCTGCTTGTTTTTGGCTTTCTATCATTCTCTAGGGCTGCTTGATCTTTATTATTCTCAATGAATATGTAAGCAAATATTTATATTGAGAATATTTACATGTATTCTCAACTGAACTCTACCCAGTTGCTGTGTGTGGCTTATTTTCTCTAACATATTCTCAGATGCTTTTCCTCTTTTAAAAGTAGAATTATTTTGTTATAAAATAGCACAATATTATAATTATATGTTGCTCAGATCTCCTCATAAATTTACTCATTTTTAAACACTTAAAAAAAAGCCCTTTATTCTTTCAACCTAGTCACCTAAAATTAGTATACTGTCTCATGCTCCTTGTAATAACACAAAATTGTTTGAGGACTTTGGCAAACAGTTTGATGAGGGTTTTGGAATGGGTAGAGATTAACCTCAGGCCTTTGTGCTAAGGGAGAGATCTCCCAAACATGTGCTATAGCCTAGTCTTCGGCAGGGTATTTAAAGATGAAATGTACACATGTACTTCCTATATGACTCAAGAAGTCTTGCCCATGGGTATTTTTTCAAGAAAAATGAAAGCCAGAGTACACACATATTGTATAGCGTTACAGATTCCCTCATGGCCATTGCCTGCCTGCAAAGAGGAAAATACTAAAAGGTTTCTAAACTGTAAAACAGAATTAAAGGTTTAACCCATTTGCCCATCATAGTGCAGTGCTGCCTAGAAAGAGAAGCATGTTTAGGACTGACTTAATAGAATTGTATTTACCAGAGGCATAATGTCTGTCAAGCAGTTTTTCCATTTTGATGATAACATGTAAAAACATGATATCTGAAAAGACATACTCAAATGTTAAATTTAATAGCTTTGTAATCAAAGGCAGGAAACAGATATTTTCTCTGAAATACTAGTTTCTGAGGGGCGGTTAGCTCAGGTGTGGGGGCGGGTGTGGGTTCTTTTAGGCAGAGTTGTGGTTCCTGAGTGTCTTCTGCCCTAGGTGGCTCAGGGAGGTGTGGTTCTGGGGAGCAGAAGCGCAGGAATTTGGCTGAGTTCCCTCCACATAGTGCTGGGTAGAAGCTACAGGGCTCTGCCCAGGTGGGGAGATCTCACTCAGTCTGCAGTCCTGTGAGGGCAGGGCTTTTGAGTAGGAGTCTCCGAGCCAAGGCAGCTGACCAGGAAGGAGGCCAGTGGTAGTCTTTGGGCCCCAGATGCCACTGAGAGCCTTGGAAGAACAGAGACTTCCAAAGGAGATTAAGCAGTGGCTCAGTATTCAAAGTCCCTCTCCGCAGTTCCCCACAGCGGGGGGCCCCAAAGACATGAGGAAGTCCATGGTTTTAAAGGGCTTATTGTCATGTCGGAAAGTAGATGAATCTGGCTGCACCCCCCACGAAACTCAAGGAAGACCTGAGTTAAATAGGAAGGGAGGAGGGAGGAGGGTTTGGGAAGGAATACTTAATTGGCTACACCCTCTGACTTTCAGATAACTCATTAGTATGTAAATCTCTTGAGGCCCTGAGGCCTGTAGTCACACCCTCTACCTGTGATAGATGACACAAACCTCTCTTTGAGAGGGGGTGTAGAGGCATTGCCCTACATGACTGAAAGGCACAATGGAGGTCTTGGCCATGTGTCAAGAGCCTGGAGTCTGGGAGTGAGGCCAAACACCTGCCGTTGTCCCATTAGGGTCCTGGGTTTGAGGCCTGTGCTTGACCAGGAACCAAGCTATCCTTTCACGGTCCCATGAGTTTCATTTTTTTTTTTTCATGTATTTCAATTTTATTTAAATTCTAATTCCTTAACATTCTTTTTTTTGAGTAACCAAATTTTTATGAAGGAAATAGTCAACAGTACTACTAGCACTTCTTTCTTTTCTCTTTCTTTTTTTCTTTCTTCTTTCCTTTTTTCCTTCTCTTCCTCCTCCTTGCCCTTCCTCCCCCTTCCCCCTACCCTCCTTCCACTTCCCCTCCTCCCCCTCTCCTTTCTCCCCTCATCCCCCTTCCCCTCCTCCTCCTCCTCTTCCTCCTCTTCTTCTTCTTTTTGGAGACATAATCTGTGGTGTAGCCTAGGCTGGCCCGAAATTTTCTATATAGAGCAGGCTGGCCAGAAATACTTTTGAGTCATACCTGCCTCTGCCTTCGGAGTACTGGGGTTAAAAGGGTGTACGCCATGCTTGACTTTCATTTTGTTTTTGTTTTATTTTGTTTGGAGGTTTTTGTTGTTTTGTTCAAAAAAGATGTGGCTATATTGCTTACTTTAGACTAAAAATCTTAGGAGAAATCATTCTCTTGCCTCAGTCTTCCTAGGGGCCATGTTAATTTCTTTCTTACTTCCTTTCTTTTTTTCTTTTCATTCAGATTGATTGATTGATTGATTAAGACAGGTTCTCTGTACAGAGCTCTAGTCCTGGAACTCACTATAGACCAGGCTGGTATTGGACTCACAGAAATCTGCTAGTCTTTGCCTCCTGAGTGCTAGAATTAAAGAAGTCTGCCACCACACCTGGCTCATATTACTTCTTAGAGATCAGAAGTTAATATACTGTCCTGTCTCAAACTAAAATTAAACGTCTGTTATAGTAATGCATGGTCTGACCACTGTAGCAGTGGTATATGACCTTAGTGCCCTCACTCAAGTTAAAACTAAATTTTATTCAGATGCTGTTATGTGAATAGAGATGTTTAATTTGTTTAAGCAGAAAGCGAGAACCTTGTGTATACTTTGACTTCCATAGTTAATCTTGGCAAGAATTATGAGCAATTAGCTGCTAGAATGTTTCTTTCTGTCTCTATCTGTCTATCTGTCTTTCTGTCTGTCTATCTATCTCTGTCTCTCAGTCAGTGCTACTGTCTCCTAGTAGACGGTACAAAGACCTCATATATTATTAATTTGAATTTTAAGTTCTTAGTTTATTTAATTCACATTATTATGTGACTATAAAGTAACTAATCAAAGGTATTCATTCATAAGTGCAATTATGTGGGGTTTATAAGGCTGACATTCCATGAACAAAGCCCAGAATGATAAACTTGGTTCTAGATCGATGGGACTGTGAGATGGCCTGCTTCACACGCACATGTCTACTCATCATTAGAAAAACATTTCACTATTACTTTGGAACCACATTTTTAGAGTCTAGCTAATTATAACTGTCATTAGATTGCTAGGATGCTAGATTGCTTTGGATGAGCAGGGCAGATTAATATTTAGTATTGTGTCTGCATTTCTTTGTAGCCGGTGTAAGCTCTGATTACAGTCTTGAAGAGATAGATGAAAAGGAAGAACTGAGTGAGGCATCTAAAGAGCAGTCTGGAAGTATTTCTGTGAAGTCGCCTGACATTGCTTCAGCGTCTACTGATATGATAATTACCGTGGAGAATGATCCTGATTCAGCCCTCGGCATCAGTGATGGAGAGACCTCTCCAAGCTCCAAGGGAAAAGCTCAAGAAGACAGAAACACAGAGGGGCAGTAAGTAGTTTCTATGTCTCAAGTGCTGATGGTGGCTTGTTGGCTTAATCCTGTTCTTTGAAAGACAATTGATATTTTCAGCTCAGCTATAGTTGGTCATGGTATTTATATTCTATCTCTCATACTATCCTTGTGATGTGTAATTGTGTTCAGGTGAAAGCCAAATTCAAGAGTTGTAGAATCCCTATGTTAGGTAGCCATCACATATAATTAATTTGTGTGAATCAAAAATAAAATGTTCTGATTTTTCATATATTTTGTCTATCATCTGCTTGAACAAAATAAATCATTGACTCTTCACTTTGTACCAAATGCATTTGGCCACTTTCACTACCTGGACTGTGAAACCACCCTGTAAGTTAGAAGTAAATTGAGCCACTGCATTGTTGACAATCAAGTCTGATGCAAGAACCACTGTCCATCTGATGCAGAAAATTTGAACTCTCTAGTCCACTAGTGCTGTGTTTGAAATGTTAAGATGAAATGCACAGGACTGTGAATAAAGATGAAAGCAAACAAGCAAAATAAGCTTTTTTCATCAGAAGTTTGCCTAATTTGCTTGGGATTGTCTCCAAATTAAACTCTTTTGTCACCAGGAAAAAAAAAATCAGTGAGGTCAATTCACATCCTGATTTATGGAGTTGACTTTGCCAGATGCAAGACTGAAGTGTTCTATTTAATTTCCTTTTGTCTTTAAGATAAAAATAGCTCCTAATAGCTAAGTAAAGATGTTCATTAGGATGAGTGTCCATTTTCCTTTGCAGTAGGACCAGTGTACTGAAACTAATGTTTCATAGCAGTGTTTCCTCTGTTCTGTTTTTCTTTGTTATCAAATTTCTAATATTTGGCAGAATGTGGGTGATTATTTCAGTCTACCTGTCTTTGAAAAACTTACAGCCTAGTTTCTGTGATGGTGTGTTTGAATAACCTTCACATCTCACATAGAGTGTCTTGTCTTCCAGAGGGCCACATCATCCTGTTGTCTGCCATATCAGCATTGAGGACAAAGTATCTGACAGTGTAAAAGACTTGAAGACATTGGTCCCAAACCAAGAGAATGGTGAGTGTTACAAACGGTAATGACCAGCACTGACTGATGAACCAAGGACTATTCTTAAGGGTGTGTTGAAGCAGCTCTTTCATGTATTGGTTCATTTAATACCTGTCTCATTTATGAGTATTATAAGAACTGTTATTCTTAGTTTTCATATCATGGACAAGTCAACCATGAAAATACTATCTCATAATTAGTAAATGGTGGACCTAGAATTTGAACATGGACAGTACCACAGTGGTCTTTTAGCTGTCTTGCTGCTCATCATGATGGTCCAACTTTTGAGGCTATAGAACTTGAATTTCAGATCTTAAACTTTGGTCCTCTGTGCATCTGTCTGTGACCTGAGTTCCTCTCAGTTCCCTAGTGCATGTTTTACTTCATACCCAAGTTGCCACACTCTGGATGAAACTTGCCTGCCTGATTTTCAAGCTATCCAATTGTGCAACATCATTTGCCACCATTTCTCCATTCTTATGCCCAAATTAAGGCAGTTTCTTCTTTTGTTTATGATGTAACGGGTTCAGTTCTGCCAGTTGGCGTAGGGTCATGATGTCCTTGAATAGCAAACTGTTTCCATCTTCTTTGGCCATTCAGTTTCTACCCACACCCTTCTCCCGTGTTAACATTGTTACTTGATTACTCCAAGCCATAAACTTCAGAATTCCTGACTTTCCAGTCAAGTCATGCAGTGTTGGACAAGGAAACTGAATCTTTGACTCCCTGTGAAACCTTTATAGCGCAGAACAAGATGTGAAGACACACATAACATATCTACATAGGATTGTGCTTCAGCATAGAATAATGCCCAGTAGAGAAGTCAAGGAATGTATGATGATACATACATCTTAGTGGAATGAGAAAGCCTAAGGTCCAGTCTATGTTAAGTGAAAATTTTAATAGCCATAGAAAACAAACACAGGGTTATAGAATTCATATTTGGGAAGAAAATGGATAATTTCAGTACTATTATTGTTGATGTTGGTGGGTGTAATGGTGGTGATTGTGGTCCTGTGTATGTGTGCCCTGTATGTACTGCAGAACTCCAGAGCTAATGTGAATGTGTTTATATCTGATTAATTTTTTCTAATTTTAGTATTCTTCTCTGATAGTACATCAAAATGTTCTAAAACTCTTCTTGGCTCTGTTTTTCATTGTACACACTGTTATGGCAATAGTGTTGCTACTGAAAACCATTATTTTATAACTATTACATTTGGGAGTTATTTTACATATTTATTTTTCAGTGCTAAGGTTGCATACAGGGCTTTGAACACAGAGGGAAGCCTCTAACACTCATGTAGATCCCAGTCTTCAGAGCTCTTCCTTACACATGGCATGAAGAGACATAGCTGAATTCTCAGAATTCAGAAGGCTGTGACGCTAGTCCTACTTATATAGTAAAATTATCTAAAAATCAACCAGTCACTCCCATTTTTAATTTGATAGTCACAACCGTAAGATGTTGACACCAGGCTAGTGCTAGGTTAGTTACAAGCATAGCTCAGAAATATTTTCTGTGATCTGATATACTTTGTAGTAACCTTTATCAACTTATAAGTGATTTTAGAAAATAATTTCTATTATCCTTAAGATATTTTATTCTCTTTTTCTTTTCCTCATATGCATTTATCTAAACCTTCGTTTTGTCCCATTGTAGAAGTCGATGTTAGTTTTGAATAGTGGGGAAATAGAAAGATAATGCAGGAGCTCCCTTCTCCTCCCTCTGTTGGCATTCCTTGCAACTGATGCAGCCATTTATAGACATTTGGTGAACATCATCCTTAGATATGAATGAGGGCGGTCAGCTCATTCATAGCAGGGTATAGGTTGCCTTCTTCAGAGTCTTTGGGAATAATTGTGTATTGGAGAGAAATAGAGAGTGATTGATAGGTAAACTCAAGGAAAATATGACACCTCAAATTCAGAGTCTTAACATTAATTAATTAGAGTTGCTTATCATGGATTTATAAAAATATTTTTACACATGGTTGTTTTTCCATAGAAACTGGTTTCTTTGCTCAGTACTTGCCTCTGTATTATTAAGTTGAAAATAGATTGTAGCACTCAGATTATGCAGTTATAGATAGGTGAAACACATTGAAAAATTGAAAAAAAAACTTCTTTTAAAATATATGATTGACCCTATTTTTTTCTCTCTCAGTAGTTCAAAATGAAATCATGGTCTGTGCCACAAGCACAGATTATGTGAAAAACAGACTGAAGAAAATGGAAACCACCATAGAAGGTGAAGCACTGAGGAAAGCTGTGGACGTGGAAGCTGATAGATTGTCAGGCTCTCCTGTGTGTAGAACGGATAATGTTAAAAGTTCGAGGGAAGATCATCTAGCAGCATCACCAGGACCAGATCAAAAATTGAATCAACCAGGTGTAGAGAAGACAAAAATGCAGGATGCAGCAATTCAGGCCACCCCTGCTGGCAGTACTTTTGATGGGAATCACGAAGCCCGTAATTCATCTGACCTCAGGGTTGATGAGACGGTGCAGACTTCGGATAGCAGCACATCAACTCAGCACTCCTCTGCAAGTCTCCAAGATTCTGTAAATGCCTCAAGAGAATTCAGGAGTCAGGGCACCTCAACGTATGCACAAGATAGACTCCCTGTGAAAGAGCCAGCTTGTACATATGGGAACAATGACCCTTCATCACCTGTAGATGGAAGTGATAATCCAGCTGCTTCTTACCTGAGGAACTTTCCACTTTATAGGCAAGACTACAACCCCAAGCCAAAACCTTCAAATGAAATTACGAGAGAGTATATACCTAAGATTGGAATGACTACTTATAAAATCGTGCCTCCTAAATCCTTGGAAATGATGAAAGACTGGGAATCAGAAACAGTGGGGAAGAAAGATGACCAAAAGATGCTTGCTGTAGGGCAGAAGCATATGATTGAGAATATGTCAGAAGCTTCCATGCAAACAGAAGCCCTCGTTACTTCTAAGAGCTCACATCAGCCCCAGCCTGACCTTAAACCAAAGCCCAGCTCAGGAACAGATCGTCATTTGCACAGGACTGTGAGTTCACCAGTTAGTACCGAGATGAACCCTCCCAAACCTCCCAGAATGACTACGGACTCTGGCACCATTCCTTTTGCACCAAATTTGGAAGATATAAACAATATCTTGGAGTCAAAATTTAGATCCCGAGCTTCCAATCCCCAGGCCAAACCAAGTTCATTCTTTTTGCAGATGCAAAAGAGAGCATCAGGCCATTATGTGACATCTGCAGCTGCTAAGAGCGTCCACACTGCCCCTGGGCCTACTCCTAAAGAACCAACAATCAAGGAGGTGCAAAGGGACCCACAGCCTCCTCCAGAACAGCGTCTTTCTCCCTTGAGTGAAAGAACTCACTCTGTTCCACTGCCCAGTATTTCAAAAGCTGCTGATGATATAATTCAGAAGCCTGCTGAGACCTCTCCTCCTCCTGTAGCTCCCAAACCTATGGCTATTCCTGTTGAGACCTCTCTTCCCCCTGTAGCTCCCAAACCGGTGACTATTCCTGCTGAAGCTTCTCCTCCTCCTGTAGCTCCCAAACCTATAGCTCTTCCTGCTGAGACCTCTCTTCCTCCTGTAGCTCCCAAACCTGTGTCTCTTCCTGGTAGTCAGGGAGCATCACTAAACCTGAAGACCTTGAAAACATTTGGGGCTCCAAGACCATACTCCAGTTCTGGCCCCTCACCCTTTGCTCTTGCTGTAGTGAAAAGGTCACAGTCGTTCAGTAAGGCATGTTCAGAGTCATCCAGTGAGGGCTCCTCTGCCCAGCCTCCAGCTGCCACACAGGATGAAAAGACACATATAGTAAATAAGTCTACGGTGGGCTCCCAACATGATGATGTTGATAAGGTAACCCTTAACTTTTCCTGTATAAATAAATAATCAGATTCCAGAACAACTTGATTAAAATAGGGGACAGCCCATTTTACACCAATACTTTGTATATTTATGTATCGCTTAGCTCTGAATTAACGTCTTTGGAAAAAGACTGGTAATACTTAAGAATTTGAGGTTTTACTCTGAGAATTATAATTCATTTAACTCAGACCTTGTTATAATAGCATTATTATATAATTGTATCATTAGCAAATATTTTAAAGTTTCTTTACTCATACACTTATATAATTATTGAGAGTAGTAACTATTTTCCTGTGCTTTGCTGACTTTTTTTAGCTTTTATTATGGTCTATTTTTCTCTTCCACTTTCATAGTACTATATAATAGCCAAATAAATAGTTTTAATCATTTGAAATTAATAGTATCAAAGATAGCAGGGGCTAAAAGTGTCCAATTGTGTCTTTTATGTCACACATATTCAATGTCAGCTTACCAAACATCTCTCAGATAATTTAATTTAAAATGAAAGTAGCTTTAAAATGTAATTTTTTTAATTATCCAGTTTGTAGTTTTCCATTATAAGTATGTAGACTAAAATACCATCCAACCATGGTAATTTAGAAAAGGTCCCATTGACCTTAATTGCCAACTAAGGAGTTTGCTTTCTGGATTCATATAAAATAGTCAAAGGAGGTGATTAAATTCTAATCCACGAGCAGTCTTCAAAAAACTACTTTGCATACTTTACTCTGCTAGAATTTAAAGACTACTTTCATATTTGTGTGAAAATTCCAGGAGCATTTTGTACAACTTTCCCAAACATTCCTAAACTAAGAGAGCAATGACCATGCTGTCAAGTAAATATTTTTCCATAATGTTAAGGTAATATTTGCCTCAAAGGATATTTCCTCATACGTTTGACATTTATGTTTGTTAGGTTAATCTAGCATCAGGAAGTGATACACGATACAGAGATGGATTATTGACTTGGGGGGTAGATCCTTCGCTTTCCCTGAAATGGATTCCTAAACAGAGTTTAGCTTAGATAGAGTTTTGGGTCAGAATCTCAGCCCTATGTAGTTCATTTAAACAGTAAAGATACATATTAGACTGTAAAAAAAATTTTTTTAAAGATTGCTTGATATAATGCTTCAGTTAAATCGGTTAGTAAATATTTGTTCTTAGGTTTAATTAAATTTCTGATTATTTAATTTGGAAGCTCTTAACATTTATTTTTAGTCTTATGGGAAAAGTCAAGAAAACCTGCTGAGCTCATAGTTCTTGAAGTTTCTAGAAACAAAAAAAAAAGTCTCAGCCAGTTAAGTGTAGTAGTGACATTAATATATCCATGTTAAATCATACTGGATTCAAAATTAGGAGACTGTCAGTATCCGACTGTCTTGTACACTTGCCTGGATATGGTCGAATGGTGAAAATGGGTGATTTTTCAGTTTGTGAATTTTTGATCATGATTGTTGGCTCTGGTAGGCAGTTCCATGTGTTGGCAATATTAGCGTTCTTAGATTTACACACAGGGAAATTGCCACTTGATGCATTAAGCAAAAAGAGGTAGCACTTTTCTTGCTCATGGTCCTAAGCTGCAGAGGGAAGATGTATCATTGATCTCCCAGCTGGCTCTGACAGAGCTGAAGCATAAAGGTTAAAGACGCAGAGCTGTGTCCCTGTCATGAGTGTGGGAAATGTGGTTTTGAAAGAATAATTAATAATAATTTTTTTTAAAAAAATAGGTCTTTCTTCTCTTGGAACTCATAAAAATATCTTGTGTTTTTATAGCAAAATAATCTTGTACAGAATGAGCACAGTTTTCAAGTGCTGACCCCAGCTGATGGCCCATCGTTCACCCTTAAGAGACAGAGTTCTCTAACATTCCAGAGCTCTGACCCAGAGCACGTCCGCCAGAGCTTGCTCACCGCAATCCGGTCTGGAGAGGCTGCTGCCAAGTTGAAGAGAGTAAGTTTTCCTTAGCAGATGGGTAACAGTGGGGCTTATTTTCAACCTTTTCTAACTAGTACTTGATCAGGGGTTCTTCTAACATTCACATATGAGCAGGAAAGACGCCACATAATTACTCTTTTCTGCCAGAGGTCATGTTTGAGGTATAAATGGAAGGAATTCAGAGTCTTACAAATACCTAAAAACATGTCAAAACTTTCTTTCTTTTTTTCTTTTTTTTTTTTCTTTTTTTTTCCAACTCTGTGGGCCAGGTGCAGAATATGACTGTATTCATTGTTGTGTATGTGAAAAGCTAGCCCAAACTCTCATTTTAAGAAATTACATTAGCACTGTAAGAAAGACTCTATTGAACCCACCCCACCCCATTTTTTTTTTTTTTTCAGGAAAGGTGGACTTTTACCAATGGCGAACTGTTTATGTTTGCAGTCATCTCTCAGTAGTCAAAGTAACTGCTGTATCTAGGTCTTAGGGACAGTTTTATAGCTTCAGTTACAGAAAGCAGAGGAATCAAAAGAATGTAGATGACCTCCACATGGTTTAGCTCGTCCTTGCTTAGCTGGAGAAGAGCAGTGAGCAGGAGCCGTGATTCCTCTGACACAGTGTGACTATCACAGGCGAGGCTCTCCTCCCACTCTACCTTCTTCCTCTGAGAGAGCATGGTCAGGTTGACTAGCCATTGCCATGGACCTACCTCAGTCATGCTATGAGAAACATCTCAACATGGAAGTTCCTATTTTACTGACTGCCTGGGTTTCATGGCAGGAGCTTCTTTGGTAATCACATTAGAATGCATTTAAAGACGGATTAAGCATTGAGTTCCACAGAAATTAAAGCTACAGAGGGATGGAAATACTGACGAACAGAAACACGAGAGTAGCGTCTTTGGTATTTCTACCACATCAGCCCTTGCTTTGCAGAACTGTTAAAGCAGTTGCTTCTGCGCACGCGCATATTTGTATGTGTATGTGTGCACATCTGTGTCTGTGTGTCTGAGTCTGTGTCTGTAACTACTGAGGCAAAACAATGTATTAAGTAGTTTCAGAAATGATAGAAACATAATGGAATAATTCAGAGGACACATCTAAATTTTGCAGATTATATATAGGTACCAAGGCAGCAGAAAGTTCATACAGATTTAAATGTTGAAATTAATATTTTACCCATCGTTGCAATTTTTTTTTTGGTCATGGGGAAAATACACCAATGTCAACAAATAGCGCATTCTTGATTATGAAATCTTTTTTGTTCTTTACTCAGGAAGTTAAAGCGGAGTTGAAGCCAATTGCCACCAATTTAAGATTCCTAAATTTAATAAAATTAGAGGCATACACAGTTTTGCTAGACACACAGGGTGGGAAGATAATTAAGCCAAGCCTCTGCCTTCTACGTAGCCTCGGCCTGAAAAGCAATGTTGCATTAGATCTATAGGAGAGCCCAGTGCCTACATGGGAATTGAACGCAGTGCCTTAGGAGTGGGGAAGTTCATATACTAACTAGTTTCAGTCTACTCATTGCAGAATACTGTACATTGAAAGGCAAATGTATTTCAGGCCAGCAGCTGGATACCGGTAGATGCCTGGGCCTGATTTGGCCTTCACACAGGAAACTCTTCACAGCTCCTAGAAAGAGCTGGATCTGAGCCAACAGAAAGGAAATTTAAATGATGTGCTTATAATTGTATCCTATTTAAAACTCATTACTGTAGGTTCTATTGAGGATAAAACGTTATCGCATTGAGTATTAACAGCTCAGAGCCTATAGAGTGTCAACTCCTAAGTTTTTAATGAACACTTCAGGCATAATCTATTTTATTTCCCTAAAAAACGGTTTATGGAACTAGTGATGTTCACAATCTCTAAACTTAGTGACCAGCTCTAGTCTATACTCTCAAAAATTATTTTTGTAGGGGCTGGAGAGATGATTCTGTGGTTGAGAGCACTGGCTGTTCTTACAGAGAACCCAGATTCAGTCCCCAGCACCCACCTAGCAGGTCACAATTGTCAGTAACTCCAGTTAAAGAGGATCTGACACCCTCACACCCATGCAGATTTTTTAAAAAATGAAAAAATATTTTTCTAAACTAAGACTTAACGTATATAACAGTACTCATTCCATATTTGTTGTAAAGTTGCAAATAAATATAACTCTAAAAATAATAAACAGTAGTGTTTCTGAAGATGTTCCATCTTACTGGAACATTTTTTTATGTTCTTTGATATTCCATACATTTGAAATGTATGTTGATCATGTCTGTCCATGACTATCATCCCTTGAGTCCTCTGACTGCTCGCCCATCCCCTCCCAATTTCATACCCTCTTGGAGAAAGCTTTTGCGTTAGTTTTTTTGAGATTTCCATACAAGATATATTGATCATATCTGTCCCTCGACTCCTTCTTCCCAGATCTACTTCTCATTCCTTACTCTCCCTATTCTCTCTCTCTCTCTCTCTCTCTCTCTCTCTCTCTCTCTCTCTCTCTCTCTCTCTCTCTGTGTGTGTGTGTGTGTGTGTGTGTGTGTGTGTGTGTGTGTGTGTGTGTATAAAACTCACCAAGTCCAGTTTGTGCTGCCCATGTACTCTTGAGCATTTGGCTAACTACAGAAGTGATGTTAGCCTACCACAGAGTCACATCCTGAAAACAGTTCTCTTTTGCCAACAGCTGTCAATCATCAGTTAGCTCGTCAGCTGAAGGTGGAGCCTCATGAGACTGATCTGCTGTCTCCAGAAGACACTTTCCTTGTAGTTATCCATTACTTCTGACTCTTTCTGTCTTTCTACTTCCTCTTCCCCAAAGCCTTTGGAGAAGAGTTGTGATACAGATGCCCCCCATTTAGGATGAGCACTTTGTGATCTCTGGTTCCTGTAGAGTGGCTAGCCTTCATTAGAATAGCTACCTCGCATTAGAGCATTCACTTCATATGTGTTGTGTGAATATGGCTGTGAACACACTATGATCTTTTCTCGATTCTTTGAGTTTTTCCATATCTTACTCCCATTAACTGTCCACGTAGCCATGGAGACTAGTTTGTCTTCATACAAAGCTTTAATTAGCATGGCACAATATTTTCAAATTGTGTTTGATCTTCAGACTTATCCATGAATTAGGAATCAGCAAATTGTTGGAATGAAGGTAAATCATCCATTATTGTTCATCTGTTCTGACACAAGAACTTTGGCTGCTTTCAGTGCTTTCGGTTGTCCCTGAATTAATTCAAAATCAGGCTGTTACATTGTTACTAATAGAATATGCTTTTAAAAATAGAGTCTAAAATAAATTTATATCTTATGCTTCATATTGTAGATTGTCTTAGAATGTAAAGTTTATCTGACTAAACGGTAGTATGGAAAGAACAAAAAGCCATGTGTGCCTTCCAGACTCCTGGCTTGTATTATTTAATTAGCCTGCTTTTTATTCTTATTTTTTTGGTTTGATTTTAAACAAAGGATCATATGTTGACAGTTCTCTCTAAATAAAAGTTTTGTAAAATTAACTGGTGTTTCATAGACACAGTTCAAATTTTGTGTCTACTCATGAAAATTCTTTAAATTTCCATTGTAGATGATCAAGACGCACATCAGTACGTTCTTAAATATTAGTTTTAAAAAAGTAACTTTTGGGGGGGTCTAGAGAGATGGCTCGGGTTATGAGAGTACTGTCTGTTCTTGCAGAGGACTCAGGTTGAATTCCCAGTGCCCATGTGGCCACTCACAACTGCTTGTAACTCTAGTTTCAGTGTGTCAGACACTCTCCTCTTGCCTTTGTGGACATAAGGACTGCACATAAAACAAAATAGATCCTATTTAAAAATAATTCTGTTGTTGGTGAATTGTGTGCATTATGTGTATAGTTCAAACAAGTCAAGTAATACTTTTAATCTCTGAATGTTTCTTAAATTCGTATCTCACTTAAGAAATATTCTGTAGCCGGGCGGTGGTGGCGCACGCCTTTAATCCCAGCACTTGGGAGGCAGAGGCAGGCGGATTTCTGAGTTCGAGAGTTCAAGGCTAGCCTGCTCTACAGAGTGAGTTCCAGGACAGCCAGGGCTACACAGAGAAACCCTGTCTTGAAAAACCAAAAAAAAAAAAAAAGAAAGAAAGAGAAAAAGAAGAAATATTCTGTAGCACTCAACTTTGACAGGCATCAAAAAGAAAGAAGAAAAAAAAAGCTTTGGTACAAAGTGGGATCCAATAGACAGGAGCTCTGATCTCAGAATTTATAGATTCATCAAAGATTCTAAAGATATCTTCTCATATATATATATATATATATATATATATATATATATATATATGTAAATATTAAAGAAATACTTTCTCTTTTAAGGTAACGTCTCTTTAGTTAGTGGGAGTTTTTGTTTGTTTGTTTTGTCCTATTTGAGACAGAATGTGATCTGCCTACTATAGCTGAGGCTAATCTTGCTTTCACAGTCCCTCTGCCCAGCTTCTCAAAGTGCTAGGACTCTTATAGGTAGGTGCCATCACACCTTGTCAGCAATTGCATCTGACATATTGCTATGCAGTCTTCTACAATATTTTATTAGTGTATTAACAAATCTAGTTTATACTGTGGAAACGGCTAGAAATTTGTACACTTACATCTCTATGAAGCTTCCCATCATGGGTCAATCTATGCTGTTTAAGGTGATACTGTATTTGCCCTTTTATTTTTACATTAGCTTCCAAAATACTAGGTTTCTGCGCGGGTTTTTCTACACAATGTATTTTCGTTGCCTCTCCCGTGACTCCTCCATCTGCCTCTTTGCTCTTTCCACTGTAGCATTCTGCTCCCTTTACAACCTTCTTTCACCACTTGGTTCTCAATTCCCACTCCCCTCCCTTAAATTATGTTTTCCCCAGCTCCATGGTCCCTTTCTAGTTTCCTGTCCTTTATCGATATTTGTCTCACCTTGTGTTCTACTCACATTTCTGTTGCTATTTAAATCCATGACCAAAAGCAGCATGGGAAGGGAAGGGTTTATTTGGTTTTTACAAGTTCTAGTCAGTCCATCATTAGAGGAAGCCAAGACAGGAAGAAGCTCAAGGCAGGCGCTGAAACAGAGACCACGGAGGACCGTTGCTTACTGACTTTCTTCCCAAGGCTTAGTATGCTTTCCTATACAATGTGGAACACCACCCACACTGGGTGTATCAGTCTGTATCAGTCATTAATCAAGAATATGCCTTACAGACTTTGTCTAGCCAATCTGATGGATACATTTTTCTCAACTCAAATTCCTCCTTCACAAATGACATTAACTTATGTCAAGTTGCCAGAAAACTAGCCAGTCCACCTGGGTATGCATAGCTAGCAATGAGAAGCTGGGATCACATATGTGAGAGAGCAGATGGTGTCTGTTTTTCTTTGGGCCTTTCTTAACTTTGCTTAATATGGTATTTTCCAGTTCTAACTCTTTGCCTGTGAGTTTTGTAATTCTTTTTTTTTTATTGCTGAGTAAAATGTCTTTGTGTATATTACCACATTTTTATTATCTCTTCCTCCATTGAGCCTGATTCATTTTCTTGCTGGAATGAAAAGCATAGTGATATGCCAGGGTTGTACAAAGATCCATGAAGTATATCTCTGAAGTAGGGTACGGAGGGATTCATCTGAGAATATGGCCAGGAGTGGTATAGTATTCCTGGGTCCTATGTTTCTTTAATTTTAGTTTTTGGTGATGCCTGCATGCCAATTCCACAGTGGCTTTGCTAGTTTATACTTCCACCCGTAGTGGATAAACGTTCTCTTCCCCCACCTCCATCTTTACTGTCATTTGTTGACATTTTTGGGGGGGATGGGGTGGGGATGATAGTCATTTTGACTCAGGTAAGATGGATTCTCAAAGTAATTTTAGTTGCTCTGATGGCTATGGCTAGAGATGTTGCACGTTCTTCATAGTCATAGGTCATTTGCATTTTTTTCTTTTAAGAGCTGTCCAGATCATTGGTGCTTTTATTGGTTGCCAGTTTTGTTTTTATTATGTTTTTTTTTTTGAAGTTCTTTATATATTCTAACATTAAGTCCTTTGACTACATGAATGGCAGCATGACATTTGATGTGTATTGGAGAGGATTTACCTGGGTTCTGTTTATGGTGATACAGTGAGCAAATTTACTTGTGAATATCCATAGCCATCACTTTAGTTTTGTGAATACGCCTGTACAGTTGTTTGTTTCTCCTTTTTCTTGTGTTTCGAGACAGGGTTTCTCTGTGTAGCCTTGGATTTCTTGGAACTCAGTCTGTAGACCAGGTTGGCCTCGAACTCTTAGAGAACTACCTGCCTCTGCCTCCAAGTGTAGGGATTTGTTGGGCTGTGGTATGTGTGGATCCATTGTTGGGTTGAATTGTGGGCCCCGCATCTGTCCCCTCAAGGGACTAGGGCTGCAGCTCAAAGAGGCAGAGGTGCAGGAATTTGACTGTGTTCACTCCGCTGGCACTGGGAGGTCCTCAGGCTATGCAAAACAGCAGGACTCACTTAGGGTAGACAAGCACAGTCTGAGGCCCCGTGTGGAGCCAGAACTCTTGGGTTAGGGGTCCCCAAGCCAAAAGGTGGCCAGGAACTGGAGGTTCTCAGGTCCTTGAGCTCTCAGGCTCCACTGGGGAGCCCCCAAAAGCTGAGACCAAAGTGGGGGCATATGGGCTGGTAGCCAGCAGTAGAGGAGAAGAAGGGAAGGGTGAACTCTGGCTGCGTCCTGCAGGGATGAGAATCTTGGTCGTGGTGACTTAACTTGGCTAGGTCACAGCTGGCTTGGCTTGCTTGCTTGGGTTGCTGGGCCTCCATGGATGAGAGGTCATCAGCTGGAGATTAGACTGCAGCTCGGTAGTTGAAAACCTTCTCCACTGTTCCCCAAGGTGGATCCCAAAAAAGAGAAATAGGCTATGATCTTAAGATCTTTATTGTCATGGCAGCTCCTCCCCACCCCCCTGTTTTTTCAGGACAGGCCTGAGATTAAATACCTTTTGTAAGGAGGAGGGTCTGGGAAGGATTGTTTATTGGCTATGCCCTCTGGCCTTTAGGTACCTCATTAATATGGAGATCTGTCTTGAGGTTCTGTGGCCTGTAGTCACACCCTCTACTAGTGGAGAGGCTAGTAGGGGTGTTGTCCTACATGACCAGAGGAACCCACTGTATGAAGATCTTTGGCCTCCTTTCCGGAGCCTGGAGTCTGGGAGCATGGTGAAAAGTATGCCATCACTTAGGAATCATCTGAGGTCCCCGGTGATTTCTAGCTGGTGCTCTAACAGAAACCATACTCCTTCCACAGTCCTACAGGGGTTAAAGGTGTTCACCACCAGTGCCTGTCCATTTGTTTCTTATAAAAAATTATAAGGGGATCCTGTGGAAGAGCACTTACTGCTCTTTCAGAGGATTAGAGTTCAATTCCCAGTTCCCCTGCCTAGCAGCTTATAAAGGCTTATAACACCAGCTCCACGGAATCTGATAACTTTATAAATCTTTGTGCTCAAACTGCAATCGAGAGATTGTTTTTTTTTTTAAATATTTTTATTGTATTTTATGTTTGGCACACACATATGTAATGTATGTATGTATGTATGTATGTATGTATGTATGTACGTACTACTTGTGATACATATGTTTTTGTCTCCTTTACATGCTTCTAAGGCTGTTGGTTTCAGTCTTTGGGGGTAGTGTCCCATACTAGCCTGGAATTCTCCTGCCCCATTGTCCTATGTGCTGGGATGACAGGTCTATGCCATCCTGCTTAGCTGTCTTAAGTGATTTTTTTTTTCCTCCAGTGGTTTGCAAATGGAACCCTCAGCCAGTGGTTTTTGAAGGCTGAGTGATTATTGATTGAAACTTCCTGTAAAGCCCTCTGTCATTGAATTGTTCCAGGCTTGAAAATTGGCTATAGCCCTTGCCATGAAAGAATTCTGAAAGATCCAGTTTTGGTGGTTGATGCTTATGTTTTGAATATAGAGGGAGTCGCTAAGTGGAGGATTTCCAACTACTGTCTGACATTAGAACCAAAGTGTAAAATTTTGCAAAATTCACTGTAACTTTTTCAAAGTCCCTTCGAGAAGGCAGGATTCATCCAGCTAAAACTGCACTGAACAGCTTGGTCTGCAGTCTGCCTGTGCTCTTGTCTTTTCTGTTGGCTTGGTAATTTTATAAAGATTAAGATGTGTTGATGGGTTATTTAACTTGTTTGTTGTGGCAATAACAACTCTCAATTTCCATTCCATGATAGAGTGAACATTTATTCTTAATAATTTGTAAACCATTGAGTGATAAATACTGAATGCTAACATTTACAGTTAAGCAGAAGTTATAATGTGATAATTGTTCAAGATAGACAGCTGTCCTATTTTATAAAAACTGATGGGAACAAAATGTGTTTCTTTCCCTTAGGTTACTGTTCCATCCAATACAATATCTGTGAATGGGAAGTCAGGCCTCAGCCAGTCCATGTCCATTGACGCCCAGGACTGTCCCTAATATTACCCTGCTGTGACAACACTTCACCGACCAGCTTTCTGCCTATAAGAAATATTGACAAATATATATTCAGATGTACATTAATATATATCTGTTCAAGAATAAACATTTGTATTATGGATTTAATGCCAAAAGAAAAAGAAGTAGAATTTATAATTTATAATAATTTTTGGCCTTTTTGTTACAGCTAAATACTGCTGCTTTAGAAATGTTAAACAAGGTATAAATGACTTGGTTTTTTCCAATGATGAATAATCACTGCTTACTTTTTTTTTAGTGGACATACTGTGCACCATGAAACAAAGGTGTAAATTGAGATTTATAGACATATTTTATGACACAGAAACAGGCAAGCACAGACTAACATTTACTGCCTCAGCATTAGGCTATAATTAGAAAGATAAATTATAGTACAGCCTTTGTTGCTGAAAGATGTGGACTATTAGTAAATCAAATAAATATTGCTCAGTTATTTTTATTGAGGAATCACAATGAGACTTTTTTTATATATTCTTTAATTACAAGTGAGTATCACATCTGTAGGAAACAGTTAAGTATTTTTAAATAGAACACTTTAACCTTTTAGGAGTAAAATTGCACAAGAAGACTTTAAGATATTTTCTGTATATAGTTATGATGTTGTTACACAGATATTGCATATTTTCTAATGCCAGAGACCTTAAAATATTCCTGTGAAAATGTTGATACATGGTGATAGTTATTTCACTTTTGGTATAGGGAGGAATAGGGTTAGTTTATGTCCACATTCAAAACTTTGAAGTTAGACATTTGCAAAATCCTGATTTTAGTTAAAGAAAATGCTAAATTAGTCATTTATGTAGCTCAGATGCTAGTCATCTAAATAATATATATTTTTCTGAAAGCCAAAATGGTTGAGAGAAACAGAACTTGATGTGTTGACTTAAGTGCTCCAGAGGTTTAGGACATGTTAGTGTCCTGAACTCCTTAAGAATTTAATTTCTCTTTTATTCAAAAAAACAACTCAAGTACCTGACACTGTTTGAACTCTTACTAAAGCTACTGGAGTATCTGTCATTTTGACACATGTGAACCTTTTTCCGTTTAATAAAAGCAAGTTATATATTTGGAGTCTGTCATTTCCAGTGTAGCCTGTATTAACTAGTGTATTTGAATACCTGACCTGAAGAACATGTAAATGTCTGTTTTTTATGAGGATTGAAGTTTTGCCTGCATGTATGCCTGCACCCCCTGTGTGTTTAGATCCTGTGAAGTCCAAAGTAAACCACGGCATCCCCCGGAACTGGTGTTACAGGCAGTCTGAGCTGGTAGATAGTTACTGGAAATGGAATCTGAGTCATCTGAAAGAACAGCCAGTGCTCTTAACTGCTGAAACATTCCCCCATGCCCCCAGCCCTGATGAACATGTTCTATCAGTCACCAGCATGCATGTACCAGCAGTGCTTTTTTGTTTTTTCGGGTTATCAGAATTCCCATCGAATAGTTGAGTTCTGATAATTGGATGCCACCACATAAAGTACTTAGCCTGGTTCCAGATCCTGCTGTTTCCTTGTTTCAAACATGGAGTGAGAACATTCTGCAGATATATCTTCATTATATCATTATAAACCAGCAAAGAGCAAGTTCTCGAAAACTACTATTTGTACATTTACCTATTTGAGGAAAAACATGATGTCTTTTTCAAACTACATCACCAATGTGTTTGTGTCAGACTGAAGGCTTTTAAAATAATGTTTTAAAACTTAGAATGTGATTCAGGCTTTCAGACTACAGTATGTGAAACGTGTTTAAAACTATTAAGATGCTGTCATAAAACATATGATGAATTTCAAACCCTTAAGTGAGATGTGAGTATCATGAAGGCAAATAAGCCCCATGAATTAAATATGTAAAAGGGTTAATTTGTTAACAGCACAAGGAAATCTAAAAGACTAGTAAATATACAATATATGTTTTTGCATATTTATATATGCTTTGCATTTGCATATCTGCATTACATATGTTAATCAGAAATAGTAGAGAGTAAGTAGGAAATACACAGAGTGTACCATCTCAGCTGAACCAAAATCAAGCTTTGAAAACAAGGAACAGCAATGGGCAATGTACTTGGTGTTACTAGGAAGTGCACTGGCAAATCAGAGGTCCTTTGCCTGTATCTTCAAAATTAGTAACTTGTAGAGATGTTCACAAGATGTGACAATCTTTTATGCAACCTTATCATTATGCTACACTGAGGTATGGCACAGATACAGAAAAAAAAAAGGTGAAAAAAGAAAAGTTGTGGAACAGGATGTGTTTCATAGTATCAGTTACAGAGAGTATAAAATATCAATGGTCTGTATATTATGGCTAAGCATGCAGAAATAAGATCTATTCACATGCTTGCTGGTGGTTGGTTGCCTACTGAAACTAGACAAGCAAAGCAAGTTTGAGCTCAGGGAGCTGTCAATTGTGTTGCTACACTGTATTTTAGAAACTGTTGTTTGAAAACAAAGGCTTCTTCTACCTCAGATTCTAATACACACAGGAGTTGTTTTAGTGTTTTATAGGTTGCATGAGATGTAGATGTTGGCTGTCTCTGAGTCACTGAGTCTCTGAGGCAGGGGTTTTGAAAAGTTGTCTTGCCTTTACTGCTTTAGGATTTTGTCACCCTCTCTTCTTAACTGAGAAGTCTTATGGCAAGTTGTTTTTCCCTTGTTTCCTCAAGGTAATAACAAGAATGACCCAAAACTAACTACAGATTATTTAATATTGGAATAGCTGGGCATTTTACCTTGATGGGCTGCTTACAACAGTATTTTAAAATTATAACTTGGACGTAAGTGAGATTTTTATCTCTAGCATCTCAGTTTCTCTCTGGAAAACCACTGTTAATATTTGGTCAGTCCATTGGATGGATGTCTAAAGTTTTGAGTATGTCTAAAGTTTTGAGTATGTGTTTGTCGAACAGTCACACACTAATACTCTGAGGCAACTTGACTTTGATCTAGCCAAGGTTCTGGAAGAGAGCGTTTTTAATACCTAAAAGTTCTGCCATATTTGTTAGCCATGTTCCTTTTTTCTTGCTGTGGTATAACGAACTGCCTTGTGTCAAGTCTCAAGTCTATCTACTCTTAAAATGATGGGAACTTGTAAAAAATTATCTTCCCTTTTCCTGAAAAATGAATCAATAGGCTTAGCTCATGGGGATTTTAAGGATTTAATGAATTTTAAATGTGTTTGACACACAGAATTTCCTTCCAAATGCACTTATTTTCCACACTTAATGAGCAAGAATTACACTTGTTTATTGTGTGGGGGAATGGCCCTCACTCACATATCACCTACAGGTGCTGTAAAGGCTGGCATCGACAACAGAATCTACCCTGCAGCTTAATCAGATTTCTTGCAATGAGACGAGTCACTTTCCAAAGACCAGAACTGACGATTCTAAAACCCAAGGCTCTGATGATACTTGTGCCTAATGACAATTTCCCATGCTTCTCACTACCAAGAGAGACCAACTGTGAAAGAGCAGAGATTCACAACCATTCCTTTTGCTATTCCATTTTCTAAAATAAAGGAGATTTGCAGCTGAAGGTTACAGTGAAGGTCCTTGCCCAAAATGATGTCTTTGAAATTATTTAGAATTCTCATTTTTATTTGGTGGTTTACATTTTGCATAGGATTTCTTTGATGTCATTTGACTTACTGGGGACCACAAGCATGTAAGATTGCCGTGTTACAAATCCCACTCAGCCGAACACATCTCAGGATTTCACATTCCCAGTTTGCTCGCTCTTATGGCTGAGCTTCACACATGGTGGAGGAGGTAAATAGGGCTGGGTTGCAGGCTCTCCAGAGTTCTAACCCACTTTCTTGCAAATTTCCAGCCCTAAAATTCTGGTTCCTCATCTGAACAGATGTACTTTACTTATCACAAGACAAAAAAATGCTACCATATGTTCTCTCAACGTTTCAGACAGGTTTTTTTTTTCTGAGAAAAATTGTAGAAAATTCTGATACTTTACATAGAATTTTGGTTTTGAGGCATCATGGGCTTAAAAAAAACCATTTTTGAAGTTGAACAAATTGGTTTTTTTTTTGGAGGGAAATATATGTTACATTTCCAAAAAAATTTCATAATTTGCAAAATAACTCCCTAATTTATTCTTTTTTTTCTTCCATGGTGGTGGATCAGTGATAGTTCAGATTATTTCCCTGCCATTCACACACACAGTTGCCCTGTGACTTGGCAGGCCTTCTCTGTACAGAGGCCGGACCTATTTTCCTGTCTGTAGAAGCATCTGGTTTTGTGCCTATTGAAAAGACAGAGGTGACATTGTGCTGGTTCTGAGATGTGTCAAGGGTTAGAATATTTTGTTGCTGGCACTATCCTTTCAGGTACTGCTCTGAGAAAGAAATCTCTTAGTGGTCTTGAGGGAAGGATGAGGTACAGGGGAAGGCAGAAGTGACTGCTACGTCTGGCCTCTTGGCCTGAGCCAGCCGAGCCCATTTCAATGGGCTCCCAGAGGCTCACCCAACACTGCACTGAGCTGGGCTGTTAGTGTGGTAGTAGGTAAAACACACCATTTTAGACATGAGATTGAATGACTTTAACCATATTCATGTTCAGTCTGCTCAAGTTCAAGTGTTGTTGTCCCCCAAAGTCCTCTACTGTTTTCTATATCCAACATGAGAACACCCCAGACACTGTTATCTAGATCCCAATCAGCTAAAGGTAAACCTAACCCAGTAACATTGTCGTCTTCGTTGCCTTTCCCTATACTTCTATCCTATCTTGTCTTTAGGCTTAGAAGTATGAGGACCCCAGTGCCACCTCCAGTCTTTTTGGAGTCAGTAAAAGATGTCCAGGTAAATTTACATATATGATAAATATTCCTCAACACAAGTAGGTACAGTATTGGGGACATACATTTTACAATTATCTGAAATTCCATTTTAACTGACCATCATATTTCCCTTGCCAAGTTTGTTAACACTATGATTTCTTTGAAAACTTCCCAAGAAGTGTTATGGGTTAAGAACAAAGAGGAGACAGTCTGGGCCCAGCTGAGGTAAGCCATGAGCTTGCATTACAGAATATAAGAGGTTTGTCAGGAGCAGTCCTGCTTATACACTGAAGACCTAAAATCAGCCATAAGCCTGACATACATGCCTGCTAGCACCAAGTCTTGGGTCTCTGTAGAAAAACACTGAAACAGATAGCTAGGAGTTATTGTAAACAAACAGCTTTGGTGGAAAATTGCCAGACTGAATACATAGACCTTGTAGATAGGCAACCTTGGAGGATAGTACCAACTTAGATAAGGACAAGTGAATCATAGGTGGAGTCATAATGATCTGTCCCCTGAATCTTCACCCAGCTGACACTCTGTTATGGAAGATATCTGTACTCCCCCTGAACAATCTGTATTCCCCCTGAACACCCACATTCCTGCGTCATCCCCTTCCCCACATCCTGCCTTTTTGTGTATATAACATGTGTGTGAGAAACTAAAGATGACGATCTGATCAGACTATAGACAGGCCTATTCCCCACTTTCTCTTTCAGGTGATCTCCCCGGACCCCTGTTTAATGCCCTGCTGGACAGGACAGAGGTCAACCTTTGAGCTTCTGGATAGCTCTTCATCAGAAAAATCCCCACATCATGAATGGGAAATGTTCATCGATGAATTTCCAGTGTAGCGACAGCTTGAGTGACTGTTGGGGGGGGATTATAAATACTTATAAGCCAACAGCAAATCATAAATACTGCTAATGTCCTCATTAGCCTTAGGATTGTTATAGCAGTTATTAAATCTGTGGTGGTGTGAACTATAGCTAAATGATTTTAAATCATTTGTTATATTTGAAGTTATTTGTAAGAAAGTCAGTGGGTGAGTTATTGAGCCACACTTCTGCATCACACACAGTAAGTAGAGGGGGATTTAAGTTGGGCCATTCGTTTACTTTCCACTAAGTGAGTGTTACTCAGGTCAATGTATATAATGAAAGGCAAATAGCTCTTGGTTAAAACACTTCATTGTTGAAGGTTGTGGTTCATTCCTAGACACACAAACTGCACAGTCTGGTGGAGCATAATGCTTTTTAGAGGGAGGGGA